CGTTTCGTCCTAGCCAGGCTAGGACGCAAAAAATCATAACGTTGGAAAGTGTGAAGCTCTTGTCTGGAATCACGATGCATCTTGCCAGAACACCAATCCCAGGCCACATCGTGAGTGCCCGGAGCCAACAGTAGGCCACTTTGTGCTCTTCGTGTTCCCAGAACACAATGCCCAGGCCACATTTTGGGTGCCCGGAGCCAGCTCTAGGCCATTTTGTGCTTTGGTTTGGTTGCTTTGCATTGCTTAGCGTTGCTTGGCGTCGCTGTGCGTTGCATGAACTGCACCGCGTGGCTCGCGCTACCTAGGTTGCATAGCATACGTTGCACCGCCTAGATTGCACCGCGCGGGTTGCAAGACATCGACGTTCGGGGGCCACGCTGGCTACTATTCGTTTATTCAATATCACGTAGGTAGCGCATTAGGGATACTAAGTTAGTTTTGCTGGAAGGCGGCTGCCATTTTGTTACGGGCCCCAAGACTACGCTGTTACGGGCCCCAAGACTACGCTAAGCTCGCACATTTCCCGACACACTTCGCTTCTGCCACCCTCAAATGCTTGCCGCATTCACGCGTTGCTTCGGCTGGCTCTCAGGCGTCCCACAGGGTTCCACGGACCACAGACGACCCCCAGGTCCCACGGGTGTCGCAGGTCCGACAAGCCCCACTGGTTCCGCAGGTCCCACATGTGTTGCGGGTCCCACAGGTTTTGCAGGTCCCACGGGTCCCACAGGCCACAGGGGTCCCCCAGGTCCCACAGGTGTTGCAAGCTCCTCGGGTGTCGTAGGTCCCACAGGTCCCACCAGTTTGGCAAGTCTCGCAGGTCCCACAGGACCGACAGGTGTCGCAGGTCTCAGGGGTCTCAGCGATGCAAAGCAACGCAAAGCAAATCACAAAATGGCTTAGAGTTGGCTCCGGGCATCCAAGATGTGGCCTGGGAGTGGTGTTTTGGGAACGCGAAGAGCACAAAGTGGCCTACAGTTGGCTCTGGGCACTCACGATGTGGCCTGGGAGTGGTGTCTGGCAAGATTGCATAGTGATTAGGGCAAGAGTTTCACACTTTCCAACGTATGATTTTTTTGTGTCCTAGCCAGCGGCCCTGACGAAGACGAACATGATAAGCCCGAAGTGCGATAGGGTGCAACTTCTTCCAACGCTATGAATGGCCTTTTTGGAGATCTGTGCAGGATTCCTCACAAAAACGACGCCGTTCGTAACGTTGGAAATGCTTAAATAAGAAGATTCAAACATTCTTTATTCAAGAAGCTTCATCGTTACGAACGGCGTCGTTTTTGTAAGGAAGTCCTGCACCAGAGCTCCAAAAAGGCATTCATAACGTTGGAAAGTTGTAACCCTATCGCACACACACGTGGTTATGTTCGTTCGCCTAGCCAGGGGCCTCGCGGACAAATCATAACGTTGGAAAGTGTGAAACTCTTGCCCGGAATCACGATGCATCTTGCCAGAACACCAGTCCCAGGCCACATCGTGATTGCCCGGAGCCAACTGTAGGCCACTTTGTGCTCTTCGTGTTTCCAGAACATAATTCCCAGGCCACAGTTTGGGTGCCCGGAGCCGGCTCTAGGCCATTTTGTGTTTTGGTTCGCGTTGCTTTGCATTGCTTAGCGTTGCTTGGCGTCGCTGTGCGTTGCATGAACTGCACCGCGTGGCTCGCGCTACCTAGGTTGCATAGCATACGTTGCACCGCCTAGATTGCACCGCGCGGGTTGCAAGACATCGACGTTCGGGGGCCACGCTGGCTACTATTCGTTTATTCAATATCACGTAGGTAGCGCATTAGGGATACTAAGTTAGTTTTGCTGGAAGGGGTTGCCATTTTGTTACGGGCCCCAAGACTACGCGAAAACTATTCATAACATTGGATTTCGCCATTCAAAGGCCGCGAGTTCCAGGTAGGGCAAGATCGGCAGCTGCCCGCGAAAATGTAAACAATAAACGCGAAACGCGGAATCACTTTTTTTCAACCTGGGGCCGTTCATGCCTAGCTTGCGTTCCATATCTTTGAATGGCGGAATTCAATGTTACGGATGGGTTTCGCGTTAATTTTTTACATCCACGGTAGTACAAAAACAAAGATATCACAAATTTCAACGCATCAAAGTGGGCAGGCCGTAGACCGCTACCCATAAGGTACCATTGCAACACTTGAGACATCAGGGGGCACCAGCTATATGAACGCCACCCCGCAGGGCATCAGGGCAATGATTCGAACTCGCAACGATTAAGCACCATAGGGCACCAGTCAAGGAGCAGTGCCCACAGAACACCAGGCAATAGCGAACACTCGCAACTACTAGAGCGCCAGGTGGCGCGAGCCATCCAGCACCGCACGAAGGGCACCAGTGCGGTGACATTACATCGTTACCATTGAAGCATCACATGGTGCCCGTCATAGAGCGCCACCCATAGAGCAATGCCCACAGGGCACCAAGGCAAGCACGAGAATTCGCAACAATATATTGAAGCACCACGTGATTCCAGCGATAAAGTAGAATCCACAGAGCACCAACGCCAGAACGATACATCGCAATCTACGACATCATCGGACACTAGCCTTACAGCACCAAAGCAAGAACGAGACACCATACCCATCAAGTCATCATACGGCACCAGCCCTGTAGCACCGCCTACATGGCACCTGGGCAATAACAAAATATCGCAACAGCTCAGGCATTAGCGGACATCAGCCATAGAGCACCACCATAAGGTACCAACGCAACAACGAGACACCAACACCATGAAGGCATCACATGGCACCAACCATAGAGCAACATCCTCAGAGCACCAGGGCAAGACCGAATACTCGGTACAAATCTTTCTAAGCCTTTCAAGCCAAATCTTTCTAAGCCTTTCAAGCCATGTAAGGGCCCCTTAGTGCAAGCACGGACTAGGGAATATTCTTGAATAGCATCGCCAGGATTTGCTCATCGCATAGAACAAGTTCGGGGTCCAGAAAAGCATGGCATTAACCAATCTACTCGGGGTAGTTCGGAGGTGAGGGGGTGAGATCGAAGTGGAACGGAGAGCCCCCCTACCGGGAAATCGGTTTCGGTTTCGTGTTCGTGCGTGCCGTGCGTGCGGGCGAGGCGAAGCTGCGTGGGCGGGCGAGAAATGTCCCGCCTCTGGCTGAAGCGCGGCCGGACCAAAAGTCTCCCTTCCAGCAACCGGTGCCGCGCGGTGTCCTGTCGGTGTCCCGATGATAATGATGATGATGATGATGATGATGATGATGATGCTTTTGATGATGTTGATGATGGTGATGGTGGGGATGATGAAGGCCCGATGATGATGGTGATGATGATGATGATGATGTTAACGATGTTGATGATGATGATGGTGACGATGATGGCCATGGTGATGATGATGATGGTGTCCCGATGGTGATGATGATGATCAAGAGGATGTTGGTGATGATGGGATGATGAGACGATGATGCTGATGATGATCAAGATGATGATGGTGTCCCGACGATGATGGTGATGATGATGTCCCGATGGTGATGATCATGTTGATGATGATGATGACGATGATGGTGTCCTGGTGATGATGATGTTGATGATGAGGATGATGATGAGGTGATGATGATGATTTTGATGATGGGTGCCCGATGATGATGGTGCTGCTGATGTTGATGATGATGGTGACCCGATGATGATGATGATGGTGATGATGGTGACGATGATAATGGTGTCCCGATGATGATGATGTTGCTGATGATGATGATGGTGGTGTCCCGATGATGGTGATGTTGATGATGTTTTTCATGACGATGATGAGATGATGATAATGGTGATGGTGGTGTTCCAATGCTGATGATGATGGTGTCCCGATGATGATGTTGATGATGATGATGGTGACGATGATGGTGTCCCGGTGATGATGATAGTGATGCTGATGATGTTGATGATGATGATGATGGTGTCCCGATGATGATGATGATGATGATGATGATGATGATGATGATAGTGATGATGATGATGATGATGATGATCGCACTCCCCTGGGCGAGTCAGAGAGACGGGCCGTTCAGCTGCCTTCTGCAGCGGGCCTCCTGGTGAGGACGCTCCGCACGACGCGCCCTTTCTTGGCGATGTGCCGGGCGCGGGCGCGCAGGAGAGGCAGCAGGCATTCGGGCCCGTACCTGTGCGAGCTCCTCAAGGAGTTAAAGGTGGAAAAGAGCAGGTCGTGGACGAGAAACAAAGAAAACAACTGCTGACTAGAATGGCATGGCATGGTGCACAGCATACGCGCATCGAGGCTCTGATTCAAATATTCGGCTGGCAGGGAGGGCAGGACAGAGGGAAGCAGGCTCAGAACATGAGGGCAATCGAAATAATGCTGGACGTGGTCGCCGCCAGCGGCTCGGCAGCCGAAGCGACAGGTAAGACGGCCTTGCCTATACCGAAGTGGTTCCACGGCAGGGCTGTTAGACGCTCGCAGCGATGATGATGATGATGATGATGATGATGATGATGATGATGATGATGATGTTGATGACGATGATGATGATGATGACGTTGACTGTGAGATCGATTGTGATATCGATGGTGAGATCGATAGTGAGACCGAATGTGAGATCGATTGTGAGATCGATCGCGAGATCGATAGTGAGATCGATTGTGAGATCGATCGAATGAAATAGATCGCGTGAGATCGATTGTGAGATCGATCGAATGAGATCGATCGAGCGAGACCGATAGTGAGATCCAGAGTGAGATCGATAGTGAGACCGATCGAATGAGACGTTGGTTCTCCCCCCCCCAGAAACTCCTTATCACCCGAAGGGTGGTCGTATAAGTATTGTGAGGCATCCCGCACTTGCGAGCACCACACATTGCGTGACAAGCCCTGCACGAACAAACCAAATCAACCTTGTCTTCCTGCTCTGTTCTGTCCACGACGTGCAAAGGGGAATCCGACAATCGTATGACCTCAATGTTACTTTTTTCCGCTCGCCTCACACCTGATCGCTGACGCCCTCGTCAGGTCACGACGAAGCAAGTGTGGGCTCCGCTGCTGGATATGTCCGCATACTGGTGGGCCTCACCTCGGCGAGCGCAGACCGAAGACAAGATCCCCTCCTGCGACGAGACATGATCCGTGCTCCTCCGTCCGTGGTTACTGTATCATTCAAGGTGTATCCGTCTGGCGTGGATCTCTCGCCCTCGCATTCTGAAACCTCCTGTGCAACACAGCTGTGCAACACATGTAGGCAATCGATCACACGTGTGGGTGTGCATACCTCCGTCCGCTTGGCGATGATCGCGGACCAAGGCGACGCAGAGCCCCATGCTGCGCATGTGCGTGTCTGTGAACGATGAAGAGTCATAAGCCCAACGATCAGTCTGGCTCACACGTGACACACTTGGCGCTCTCAGGGTGAATTCAGGGCTATCTGTGGCCTGACGTTATCCCTGCAAGCATCGAGGTACAATGGCATAACTCTTCGTGCGGACCCTCGTTGTATCCCACCATCACTGGCTGGCGCTCAACCTCATCTTCACCTTCCACTACACAGGCATGCCGGATTTTTGGCTCCAATCACCTTTCGATGTCGTCAACCATGGCTCTGTACGGGTCTCGAACTTGAAGCGCTCTTCAGTCGTCCGGTTCTTGCGCACCTCTTCGTCCACGGCGTCCTTGCAAGCCTGAGGCGGGGAGCATCTGGAGTTACATGCAAGAAGCTGTGCTGGGTCTGGGTGCGCAGGCGTGCATGTACTCCTTTTTGAAGTCGGACGCTCAAGGGCACAAGAGGGTGATGATCTCCAATGCCCTTGTAACTCTGTCCCTCACGGCCCCCTCTCGTACACGCAGCGCTTACATAATTCCTCTCCCTCCTCCTCCTCCATCTTCTTTTCCTCTACTCCTCCTTCCAATTCCTGAGCCCCAATTAACAATCGCTCGCCTTGCTCGCGTGGACCTTCCCCACGTGCGAAGTCGACTCGAGGATCTCCAGGCACGTCATGAGTTCACCGAACAGGTGGTACCGCTGCATATCGGTGCCCACAATGCCCCCGACGCAAGAGGACGTGTGGATACCCACGCGGCATCCGATGTTCTCGCCAAACTTCCTGGACCACTTCGCTGTCTCCTGCGAAAGGCGAATGATCATGCAAACGTTGGCTGCAAAATGCATCCGTGAATAAATCCGACAAGGACGTTGTGTACCGTGTTCGGGCTTTCCTGGGACTCGTGGTGATTATTGCTTGGGAAGCTCATCTCCCACTTTGGGACTTCTGTTCTCGTGCCATAACTCTATCTTGCACGGGCTTTTGGACGGAGGCCATCACATAATGTTCTGGAATCGCAATGCAAACTTCTGGCGTCACTTCGAACACAACCGCCAACTACTGGAATGACACAAGTCTCCAAATAGGCTGGCCTCCAAGGATTCGTATTCCTTCTACGTGCATATGGGGTGGGGGGTCGGCCGCGCTCAGCCCACACGACCCAAATGGATTCCAAACTTTCGTGGGGGTGTTCGCATGGCTCCTGTGCTTGCTTGATGTCCGGTCTGCTGGCTGGTGCTGGCCTGCTTGCTGGTCGCTTGCTTCCCGGCTTCGTCGCAGGGCGGGGGCGGGGCAAGGCAGGGAAGGGCTGGCGCGACTGATGCTTCTCCTCTTCTCCTCCCACATATGCCCCAGCGCACGAGTCTCTTCCATCGCTTGCGTCAATACCTGTTCGGGGTGTGCGTTGAACGATATGTTCATTGGGATGAAGAGCGGTGTTGAAAACTAAATCAATCTTCATGTAGTGGAATCACGCGCAAACTTTGGGTAGGCATGGCCACGCAGTCTTGCAATAGAAATTCGTCGGCCCCGCTGGGGGGCCAGCTAGCTGCGAGGCGGAGGTGTTCCCGTTTCCTGCAACAGTCCCAATTCCGAATGGTATAATCATTTGTTTTGTGCAATTTCTAAGTCAAATTTTGTCATGATCGACAACAGCGCGAGGACCCTAGCCCGGAAAACAAGCCAGTACCACGCCACGACCACGCTGCCCGAACTTATGGGGGCCCTGGGGCACGTGACGAGAGGCCACACCCCCTTGTAAATTGCGACGCGTTGGCGCTCCCGAGGCCACAACCCACCATACATTATTATGAGTAGGCGCGCATCAAACCACAATCTTGGGTACATTACGATAAGTTCGTGCTCCCGAGGTCACACTCCGTTGTAAACTACGACGCATTGGCGCTCCCGAAGTCACAATCCATGGCAATGTAAAGGAAATCGCGCCCCCGTAACATGCATCACTGTCGCAGTCTCGAAATCACAACCCCTGGTACAGTATTGCGAATTCGTGCTCCCGAAAACACGCCGTTCGTCCATTCCTACGCGGTTGTGCTCCCGAAGCGGCAGTCCTCAGTACATTGCAACAGGCTCGCATACCCCAGGCCATACTTTCTTGGGAATAGCGACGCATTTGTGACCACCGAAACTACGACCCTTTGTACACTGCGACAAATTCTCGCCCCCGAGGCCACAAACTCGCGTGCGCTGCAAACAAACTTGCGTTCCCGAAGCCACGAGCCCACCCCGCGGAGGCTGCCTAAACGCGACCCCCTTCTCAACGACAGAAGAACTGCACTTTTTTTGTATTGGGATGTGTGAATGAAAAGTAAGGGTGCCGGGGTTGACCGTGAGGTAATTAACTGAGAACCCTACTCCTATGGAGCCGTCAGCGACGTATCGAAGCATCCCGCAATTCATCCCTTGGTGGCGAGCAAGGCGAGAGGTAAGAGAGAAACCGTGAAAAGTGGACATGGATCATACAAGGACGTGGCCATTCTCCGTTACTATGTCCGCAAATAGAGGTACACAGGTCTGCGCACCTAGCATATAGGACAGCGCTGCCTTGAGCAAAGACAGCGTCGGATATAGCGCTCGCTATACAGCCTCACCTTAAACCTCGTTTAAAGTCGGGAAGGGAGGGGCCGACCGCTAGATCAAAGTCATGACGGATTAAGTCGGGTAAAGAAGGATGAAGATGTTTTTGTTCAACATCCTCAGCAGCACACAGAAACACGGCGCATCAAAAACAGCGCAGAGTATTAGAACTGGTCATGACGTATTGCCAGGACCCGCCGCAGACGATTAGGGGTATTCACGGGCAAATCCACATGACTACCCACAGAAAATTAAGGGGAGACGTCCAGTCAGTGGGCCCTGTCAAAGAGTGCAGCGTGCGAGGGGGTATGACCATGCGGCCAGCCCCCCCAAAAACTACCAAAGAATAGTGCCCGTGTCCGGGTACTCATGGTAGCTACGAAGCTATGAGTGTCTGTCGCTGTGGCCGGGCGAAGATAACCACATTGTGTACGCACATGCCGGTGTCCGGGCAAGGAAAACTTCTTGTCTGGATTTGAGTAGTCGTCCTCATTGGTAGCCGCTGGTTCTGATTAGGGCGCCCCTACGTTGGTGCTGTATCTTTCTTGCCCCGATGGGATCTGAACTTCTTCACATCGTACTTGAAAATCTGGTTGCCTTCCATCAGTTGCAGCAGTGACGCACGACCGTTACGCCCCTTGGTATGGCCGTCAGCGCTCATATCTCGTGTATCACACCATTGTATGCCATGAACTATACCTCGTTTCATCATCTGTCTCATCCAACTGCTGTGTCCCGGCAGGGTGCATTCGGTCGGCTTCTTCAAGTCCTTACTTGACAACAATTTAAAAACATAGTCAACGTCTATAAAAAAAAACGATGGCCTTAATGCTGGGGCCGCCAAACTCCAAAATGTGTTTAAGTTGAGCGGGCGTTCGGGGTCCAGTTTTAAACTCCTGTAGCGTAACTATGGTAGGGTAGCAGTCCTCAAGTTTATGAGCGGTTGCCAGCTTTTCGGCTGAGTAGCTGGAGCGCACCTGCAAGTGATGTGGCTTGCAGTATGCATCGGTCAGATGTACAACTGCCTTGTCGCTGGGCGCGCGTCCCTGCAGTAAGAGGTTGGCCCCTCGGACGCCATATCCCTTTACTTCGTCATCTTCGTCCCCGTTGAGACGGCGGTTTCCTGAGTCGCTGTGAAGGTCCACCTCTCCTGTCGGAGTCATGCGATGATATCAGAGTGAGGGGGCCGAACGGTCATTCTTTGTCCCTGGGTGCGTGGCTCAAGTCAAAATCCGTGGTGAGGATTCTGCTTGTTGCGTTGTTGTTGTGGTGGTGGTGGTTGTTGTTGTTTGTTGTGGTCGCCCCCCCCGCGACCCACCGGCGACCCGCCCCGCGACTCGCCCCGCGACCTACCCCGCGACCCGCCCCGCGACCCGCCCCGCGACCCGCCCCGCGCCCCGCCCCGCGACCCGCCCCGAGACCCGCCCGCGACCCGACCCGCAACCCACCCGCGACCCACCCCGCGACCCGCCCGCGACCCGCCCGCGACCCACCTGCGACACACCCCGCGACCTGCCCGCGACCCACCCCGCGACCCATCCGCAACCCACCCGCGAACCGCCCGCGACCCACCCCGCGACCAACCCGCAACCCGCACCGCGACCCACTCCGCGACCCACTTGCGACCCATCCGCGACCCACCCACATTGGTTTTAAGAAGAAATCGGCGCCTGCGGCGGGATCGTTGTATAATGTGTGAAACTTTGGTGCCTGCGGCGGGCTTCTCCAGAGTCTCGCCGACTGCCGGCGTCTCCACCTCCCCCCCCCGCGCTTTTATCCGCATCTGCGGGGTGCTACGTATTATTTTCTTTGGGCCTTGCTGAAGTTTGCGCGTGACAGCGTTAAGTCTTCGTGCTTGGAGGTTCGCGGGTCCCCGTGCACGTTGCAGGGGTGCCGCGCATGCCATTGATCGCGCTTGAATGATCAATGCTTGCGCCAATGCGCCATGTAAACTGATGAACGTGTCGGGTGCGGTCTTCGTTGCCTTAGCTGCAGCGCCCGTAAGATCTGGATGCTGTATCGAACGAAGCTGCTTGATGTATTCATCTTGGTCTGGCTGGGCGTGGTCTGGAGTGTCAGGGGAGCTGCCAGCCTCAGAGCCACTGTGTGCGCCTCTTGTCGTGTCGTAGCTGCTGGCGCCCACAATTGGGTCGTGGAGATTTCTGCGTGAAGTTAGAGGGTGAACGTGGCCGTGCTTCTCCCTGGGGTCTCTGTCGAGCTGGTGGGTGGGAGCTCTGCTAGTGCAGGTACCTCGTCAGAGTGGTCGTCTGGTGCCGCTGCTGGCGCAACAGCGGCAAATTCAAGTGCCCCTTCCGCTGGTGCTGGCGCAGCGGGTGGAGCTTGTCCGTGGCTGTCTGGCAGTTGCCACGGCTGGGCAAACCTATGCTTGCCTGGCGTCAGCAGGTGGCCCCGCTTGTTTTTCCAATAATCCTTTTTGGAATTTGGGCATGCCCAGTGATCGGGTTCCGTGTCATATCAGCGGCAGTGACGTGGGTTTTGGCTGTGACTCGGTGAGTTCATTTGAACGTTGTCCATGCAAGCTGGGCAACCAAGTCCTCCCGATGGTGGTCGTTTGATGGGTCCGTTCTCTTCCCGTGGTATCGAAGGGTCATCGAGGTCGAATCCAGCACAGTTGACCACAAGGGTGTTTGCGTAATACCTGTCGGGAAATGGGTTGTTGCCTTGTGCATATGGGGACTTTACAATCTGTGCTGAATCTACAATCAACAATTGCATCTTTGGAGTACATTGGGCTGCCGTGTCAGTTCTCGGCTGCACGCTTGGGCGTGCTCATGGTTACCAGAGCATCTTTTGTTTTCAAAGGGATTGAGAATGGCATGATCATTTGCCATCATGTCTGTAGGTTTCTCGAGAGTGCCATTTGAATCACGTAGCTCTATCGAGCGCTGATCTAGCATCTGCTTGCAAGTGGCCTTGCCTTTGACTAGTAACGTCTAGGGGGCAATCTTGCCCACCCAGGCGCCGACTGGCTGCCCCCTAAGGAGCATGCGTTGGAAGGCATCTTGAATGACGGCTACTTCCCCGCAGAAAGTGATGTGGGGAAGGTCCTCCCTGTGGTGTTTGTACCAAGTGTCATGGTGAACTTAAGTATGCCGGCGAGCCTATTGCTCTGCAGCTGGATTGTGCTATGCCTACTGTCACGGGGCGCGTGTGCAGATAATGCTCCACAGTCTGCTGTGCTTGT